ACCTATAGAACTCAAAAGCTTTAGGAGTGTTAATGATTGGTATCTTAGGGAAACAAATTAACAGAAGATAGGTGGAATGGTAGGTGCTGAGTGAAATATAAATGTGGCTCTTAACCTTAGGTGCAGTAGAGGAGGAGGAGAACCTGTTGCCTCCATGCTGGTTCTTAAGGGTAATGCTGGAAAAAATATGTGCAAACCAGTCTTGGCATTTCAACTCAGTGTCATACAGATATTTTAAAAGACAGGTTAATACAAAACAGGAAGGGAAATGTAGGAAAACAAACAAACCCCATGAAAGTGCCATGAATCAGGGTACCCACAACCACGGTTGAGCTTTTCATTCTGCTGTATGTACAAGTCACAGGTTCAAGCTAAGGTCATTGTTATGGCGTCTGCAAAAGGTGGGTTGCCGGCCGTATCCCACCCTCTTCCCCATCATGTAGATCCATGCAGTGTTTCACTGCTCATCCCCTCCTGATTGCTGCTGTTAATTTGCCTTCTGCTTGTTTGTGTACGTGTGTGATGTTCTCTTTCCAGGACTGGGGTTTGCCCTTTCATACTCCCCAGCCATAGCAATGGTGGGCAACTATTTTCACAAGAGGAAAGCCCTGGCATATGGAATCGCCATGTCAGGCTGTGGCATTGGGACCTTCCTCCTCGCTCCCGTGGTCCAGCTTCTCATTGAGCACTTTTCCTGGCGCGGCGCCTTGCTCATCCTGGGTGGTTTTGTTTTGAACCTTTGTGTCTGTGGTGCCTTAATGAGGCCAGTTGCAGGAAAAGAGGACCACAAGAACACGCTGGAATTCCCTGAGCAAGACTTTGAGCTGGAAGTGCAAAAGCCGGGCTTCAAGCAGTGGTCCTTCTGCTCCCCTGTGATCAAAATTTGGTCGCACAAGTGTGTGTGCCGCTGCTCGCAGCAGGAGTACAACTTTGCACTGATGCCAGACTTTGTGATGCTTGCAATCTCCATCTTATTCATGGCTTATGGCTGCAGTCCACTCTTTGTTTACCTAGTGCCTTACGCGTTAAGCGTCGGAGTCAGCCACCAACGGGCGGCTTTTCTCATGTCTGTCCTTGGGGTCATCAACATCGTTGGCAATATTACTTTTGGATGGCTCACAGATCAAAGGTAAATGTCAGAGGGCTGTGTGGGAGAAGGACAGGGTGCAAGACAATAAGCACTTGGATGCTCTCCTTGCATGCCAGTACTTGTTTTCAGAAGACATTTCCTTGTGATGCAGCCTTTGTCTTATTCTCAGGCCACGGTGGATGCAGCCTAGAGTCATCCTCAGCTGCTCTCATTCTATTGTCATGTTTTCCACCTTCTCCTGAGAGAAGCCTTAGGGTCTGAATTATCTATGAAGCATCTCTGCATAATGACCGTCACTCAGGCAACTTGAAAAGTGACTAATGCCTCATCCCACATCCCACCCATCCACCCTTGCCCAAGCTATCCTGCCACGCTTTAAGGAGCATGATTCACATTGGTCCCCCTCACTAAATGTTGCAATTAACTCCTTTTTGTTTTCCCTTGTTCCTATCCTATTATCTTTCTTTGAAGATTTGAACCTTCCTTCGGATGGGTGTGGACTTTATGTGTGCACACAGTCCCACAGCAGGCTGAAAGGGGGAGCAAGAGAGTCTGTTTCCCTGCAGTTCTTCCACAAATCAAATGTTCCCTTGGTCAAAGAAGGGGATGGCAGCTTCTGGAAGTAGTGACTTCACAGGGCTAATGGGTCCCCTGGCCAGGGACAGAAACCCGAGTGGGTTTCCCTTCTGAACAGTAGCCGTAAGTCAACTGGCAGTTGGAATAGGAAGTTGCCCTCGGTAGGAAGAAGGAAGCCCACCCTTTGTAATGACTTTTCCTCATGTAGTTGGAAAACTGGGAGCAGTTTTCCCCTCAGTAGCCAAGCTTGTCCAAGTCTAGAACGGGACATTAGAGACAAGCCTGGTTGCTTATCTCTTTTGGGTTGTGGGACCCTGACTTCGGAACACCCTCCTGAGGATGGTTACAAGAGTCTTGTTAGTGCTGGGGTTTTTATGAGCCTAGCCTTTTCAGACCTGTAAACTGCTATTGCTAGAATACTTTGCTTCTTTTAAACCATGTTGTGGGCCTCTCAGGGAGCCTTTCTGAGCTGAAAGATGGGATACCAAACACTTTGGTTCAGGCTTCTCCAGCCTGGTGTCCTCTGGAGAGAGGGGAGGGCAGGGGAGGAGAGGGGAGGAGAGGGGAAGAGACTTCATGTAATATTCCTGGTCAGCACTGAAAGTAGTAATTCTGAAAAGTGCCAACCCAACACAAATTGGGCAGGTTCCAGATCTGGGAATGCTATACCTAAACCACTACACCCAAACCCATTAAATTCATAAAGGAAAAATGAAAAATCAAGCAGCAACCAGGGAGTAAAGTGGGCAGGGCAGGAAAGGGATGGGATTTTTCCATGAGCTTTTCCACAAGAATAGTAGCATTTCCACAAGTTACAAGTCTGGAAAAAGGTTCCGAAAGCAACTTGAATTGGATTCCCAGAAAGGGATAAAGCAAGTAGATAATGTTTAATTTCTACTTGTACACAGTACACTTTAGTTTTAGCATATAACCTGAACAGCAGCTGTTGCTTTTTATTCGGATGAAGTGATAGCCAGGCTGGAGGAGAAAAAATCTGTATAGGCTCAAAGTCCAAAGATGGGAAAGAAGAACGAGAGATGGAACCACAAGACCAACAAAGAGCCTCCCTCATCCCCCCCTCCCGGAGAAAGAGGATCTTATGACAACTAACTCTCTCCTTCTTCCTTTTCTTGACCATCCCCTCAGGTGTTTGAAGAAATACCGTTACATTTGCTACCTCTTTGCAGTGGCAATGGATGGTCTCTGTTGCCTCTTCCTTCCAGTTCTCCAAAGCTTTCCCCTCCTGCTGCCTTTCTCTTTCATCTTTGGCTATTTTGATGGAGCCTACATCACTCTAATCCCGGTGGTGACAGCAGATGTCGTGGGGACCGCGTCCTTATCCTCCGCCCTTGGCATGGTCTACTTCCTTCACGCAATCCCTTACCTGATCAGCCCACCTGTTGCAGGTCAGTATGGAGGAGGGAATCAGACAATATACAGACTAGTCTATATACACCTGCAGAATATGGCTTCACTCAGTTCGTCTCTCTATTCCAGTTGTAACTAATGCACACTGATGATGGATAGAGTGGACACAAAGCTAACATTACATTTTTAAAAATCAGATCCACATTCATCTTTTTATTTTATATAAGATTGCATTTATTAAGTATAGGAACAATTTATTTCTCTCAAAGAATGGTTGATTAATATTCAGTCATCTGAATATAAACACATGCATTCTAATGCCTTCTATATGTCAATTTCAGAGAGGGTTTTCTGCGTAAATCAGAAACGAATGGGATCATTTCTCCAAGATGAGTACTGTATTTACATTTTCCCTACCAGGCGTTACCTTCAATTTTTTGGTTTGGTTTCAGTAGACAAGTCAAGGTCTTTAAAAATTATATAATGTGCTTCTTTTGATACTGTATATATATATATAATGCTTATTTTAGCTAGGAATTTAAATCAATCAGATGGATTGGCAGTTGGTCTGAATCCAGCTGGTGATCCTTTCTTCCATTTACATTTTGGTAGATCTCCATGGTAGCATTTAGATTGGTTCATCACTGGCCCCAGAACATTTTTCCTCTTTGGCAGTTTATTTATTTGTTTGTTCAATTTAGGCACTGCCCAACTTCAGACTGACTCTGGGTGGCTCACAATACAAGTGATATAAAAATAATAGATAACAATCTACATAAAAGAGTAAACAGATGGCGGATCCAGTCAACACATAAAACAAATACCGTACCCCCAGCAGGAGCTCCAACCACTCTAGCCGAGTACCTGGGAGAACAGCCAGGGTTTGAAGGCCCTCTGGGATGTCATCTTCTCTGGTCTCACCCTTGAACCTTTATGGACTTGTGATCACTCATGTATGAATGAGCTTTTAGCAGTACAAACACTGCCCAATCCGTTTTAGGATCACTAGCCATGTCTTTGCTGAACTATCACTCTGTCTTCAACCACCACCAGAGCTGTCTCCATTTCAGCCATGTCATCTGTCAGGCATCACCTTCATATGCAAGCTTCCTCTTCCCAACAAACCCCTGGGTTTTTTAAGGCTTCCCTCTTTCCTAACTCCACATCTGCTACTCTGCCATCTCCCATGAGTACCATGTCTATGAGAATTTAAGCCATCTTCTGTTTCCAGCTCCTTATCATCAAAACTTAGTGCAAAGAACTTGGGTGCATGTGTAGATGCATGGATATGTGAAGAGCCAGCGAAATACTATGGTGTTCGTCACAGGAGTGAAGTAAAATTTCAGGCAGCCATTGTTATGTGACTCAAAATGGAGAATTACTTATAAAAGACACCCTCTCAGAAAATAAACTTATGCAGAGATTAAGGCCAGAGCAGTGAAAGCATGCAATCTGTGGAAGAATGTAAATCTGTAGCACGAAAGGATGGAGTGAGGAAACCAAAGACTGTTCAAAAATTAGAGAACAAAAGAACTGAGAAAGGAGCCATGTGCAGCTTAGCAAATACAAAAGAAAAGTAACTCAGCCTTTATTCCTAGAGAGAGGAATGTTATAGAAATATGGCCTCCTTTTTTCTCTTGTTCATTTGCACTCTCACACTAGAGAGGTTATAGCTGCTAGTTTTGCCTGGGCCTCATGTTAGAAGGCTCAAGGGCTCCCCCAATGAGAAAAAAGGAAGGTGTATCTCCATAGTATCTACAGACTTCCCTTCCTACAAGCTGCTTACAGCTAGGCCAAAGATAGCTCTAAGGCTAAACACATTGCAGTATGACTATACTGCAGTGTGTTTAGCCTTAGAGCTATCTTTCAAGTACAAGTCCTGTTGAACATACGTAAGATCTAATTGAATGTAAATAACAACAACAATGGAGGCTACTTATGCCTGACAAGTCGCAATACTGTACAAGGATGAAATCAGTCATATGGTGCCTTCTAGTGGTCAGCAGCAAATATGACAACTTGTAAGAGAGAGAACAGAGAAAGGAACATCCCAGCCTCTAGTGCAGAGCCACAGTGTTTATGCAAGTAATTACACCAGGTAGAAACAGATACCCACTGTCTTTTACAAATGATTACATTTCAGTACTTGGCTGGTGACAAGAGTCAAGTCCCAGAGAAATTCAAAGTATGTGCGTCTTTGGCATGCAACGAACTTAGCAGAAAGTCCTAAATTCTGTGCACAGGTAATGGAGGTGGATCTATGGCAAATCAAATGCAAGGGTACTTGAAAGAACAAGGGGATGTACATCACACTACAGTGCGCTGTTTCCCAGAACAGAATTTGTGGCAATGATGAAAATTTGCTGTCTTCGTAGAAGTCATGAGGTGCAGGAGGCAGAGCTGGCAACTAAATCCTGGGGAGCAGCAGCCAACATGGACACAAAATACTGTCATATCAATGGTGGCGTGGAAGAAAGTCCAGCCTAGGTTACGGTACGTGAGAATGTT